TTCGTAGTCCAGCCCACAAGCAGACATTCGCATTTGTACTCGCCACGTACAAGAGTACCTAACTTTTATTGATTTCTTCCATTTTCTTTCACATACGCTGCTCAAAACAATTATGATCATTTATTCGTTGCGATCACTCCAAGGCGACATTTAGTTGCTGCCTAACAATAACTTTTTGTCTAGTAAGTTTAGGTTAAACAGTAGAAGATCAGTGTCTGTTTTCAGTCTGACCCCATTTTGACCACCTTTCTACTTTCATATGCAAATATCTCCCAAGATTGCAGTTTTCTGTTTCTACATTTTGAGATTCTGCGGAGGCATAGGCAATTAAATATACATGTATATACATACGCTGGAAACTGGCCTAATCATTCTCAGTATGTTTGCAGGCTCTAAATACCGTATTGAATTATCAAAATTCAGCTTACTTCAAGATTATAAACAAATGACTATTTCGCTTCGTCGTTCCCTAGAATTGGTGATATCAGCTGTGCTCTTAATTAGTGCATACCTGCAGTTCACGGTAAGTTCATTGCCTGGATACTTCCAGTTTTATACAATTGCGCACATCTATAATGTTCAAAAAAATAATTGGTGAAGAAGTATTTTCAGCGAGATCCAGACTGGTGGATTTACGTCCCTATTTATGGCCTTGGCGCAGCACTCTGCTTGTTCCCTGCTCAGAACTCAGTTTGGTGGCGGTTTTCAAGCGCAGTAGTTATAGTTTTTGGAGGTTTACAGATTGCATTTATATCCTGGTCCCTCTGGCATGTTTCCAAAATCGCGCTCTCTGAAAAATTCGAAGAGGTAAGGCTTCTGCAAATTTATGTTTATGTCCTGGAAGTTCCTCCCGTTGTATCGGCATTTCGAAGCAAAATTCCTCCATCTTAATTCCAAAGACCTTAAAAATCATCTCAACTCTCATCCGTCTACTGTGTGTTATCTGTTTAGGGGAAGAACATAGCATTATCCGCTGCTGCAGTTTCGATGATGTGCGAAACACGCTTGTCAACAGTCAAGTACAACACGCCAATTAGTTTCTTAAAAGCATTGATTTTAGTCACTTTCTTGATCACTGCACTAGGAGGTTTCACGTTCTCATCTTGTTATTACTCTGATAAGTTACCCTACTGTCCAATGATCAAAATTTAGGATGAAGGCCTTTACTGATTTCGAATAAAAGTTCCAGAAAATTTAAACAACAAGATAAACCCATAAAACAACAAACAGTAGATGGCAACTTGCTTAATATGCGAACCACAACAGAAGAACAAAACAAGAGTCCCTGTCACCAAAAAGAGGTTTCCAACCTTGTGGCAGAAAAAGACTAGAAAATGACCACTATTCAGCACTGTTTTCCACAGCATGTGAATCAACAACACAAGGAAATTTGAGCGAAAGTGTATAAAGGAAATGTGCAAATAATCGAGAATTCAACTGCTATAATAACAGCACATTTTTTACCCAGGCGCTACTTCGTTAGAACCGAGCATATGGAACCCATTTCTTATCTTTTGCGACAGTCACCTTTCGACAATAATGAATGCAAGTGCAGTGTTTCTCTGAGACAACAGTGACTGCGGATTCAAGCCGTTTCCTGTCTTATAAACTCTTCCTTAACTCTCTGGGTTTTTCTGTTGAAGACAAATTACTCTAAATAAATTTTAGAAGGAAATAACAGGCTGATACGGTGTTTCCGCTGATAAAAATAAGTAATAAACGAGATTTATTTGCACTTTAACTGAAGTAAGCCAATGAGATACTATTTAGAAGACCTTTAAGGTAGCCAATTTTTCATAAAGAAGAACCACTACCAGTAGAAATTTCAAAACTTCTTTTAACGCTAGGACAAATGGTTTTGACTTATTTATCTGGCTCCTCAGTTGCGGTGTACATAACTCGGTTGTTATTTATTCTAATCAGCAACGTCACAGTGAGGTTTTCTCAAATATATCTTCATCTCCTAAAAAAATAATTTTGCAAAAAACAGCCTATTTACTACCTTTGCTAACCGAAACAAGTGGCATATGGCAAAAAAACGCAATGTAGTAACAGAAGAACTAATAGGACAGGAAATGGTGGGAGCCTGCAGTCGTCAACTCATAAAATTAGCACTCTACGACTCATTCTAGAGAAGCAGTGACTTGTAGAGTGGCGTGCGACAAGAAAGTTAATTTAGTAACAAATAATTAATATTCGTAATCAAATTTCAAATAATCAGCATCAAACTCTTGTACTCTGACATATCCGTCCTCACCACCTGTGACTATAGAATTACCACTTGGATGAAATGCAATAGTATTAATTGGTCCGAAATGTCCTTTAAAACGTGCAAATTCCTCCTCAAATATCTGAAACAAACAAAAAAGTAGCATTAAAAAGAATCAACATTTGGAAAAAATTTCAATAATCTTTTGGTTCCATTAAAAACTCGTTGTCAAAAGAAAAAAAAGGTCTATGCAATTTTGACTGATCAAAATCACTGTACTAGCTGAAAAAAAAAAAAAAATTTCAGGCTGTTCAAACAGCAATAACTTATTTATAACTCTATGATGTGAAGAATCATAAGGTGTAACGCGCAACTAGAATGAACATAGCTAGTTTTTATGAAAAAAAAGGATGCGACAGGCAGACAGAATATTTTGAAATCAGTGAAATTTTTCAAAATTAAATGTAGTGGAAATGTTTACACAAAACTGCACTTCCATTTCCCTAGGGTAGTTCAAAAACCGTGAGCAAAGAAGCTGTAAAGTAGAGATAAAATCAGGTAACCGGTCTAAACAAATAATTTTCCGGCAATTTTAACAACAAAAGAAATCAGATAATAGCAAATGTTCTTATACCATATGGTAAAATTTCGCTTCAAAGTGGGCAGATGAAAGCACCGTTTGTGTCACTTGCATAGCCTCTTCACCACCGCCGAGAACTACATGATCTCTAGTTGGAGAAATCGCGGCGGAATTAACTGGCCTTTCAGACCTACGAAGAAAATTTAAAAAAAAAAAAA